GAAGCGCAAGAGTGGGGGAAGTTATCCGTCGCCACTTTTTGCCTCACCCCCACTACTGCTATTGGCACGAGTTGATCCTCCTTAGTTCTAGTCTTCTTGGTTTCACCTTATATATTTCCACCATGTCGTTAGTTTGCGCCGATCATGGTCGATCGAGTATAAAAGTAGTGTAATTACATGATAATTCGTGAACTGTTCGCGAACGGCTGTCATCGCGAAGGTTTCGTGTTTTGACAGTTATGTGTATCAAGAGGTTAATAATGTCTTCGAGATTACTCAGATAAGTTTCATTAAATATTTTCATTACAAAACCTTTATTCGGTAAAAGTTCCGATTAGGGGACCCCCCCAATGACCTTGACCTTGATATATATTGTCAAGGTCATGATTCTAAGTAACCTCCAACAGGTTTTAGCCGTCGCTCGTCCTTCGTTAAAAAGTTATTAACAGTTAAAGTTAGTAATACTTTAACTGCTTCACATAGCTTAGATATCTCTGACCTTCGACTCTCACCTCCCCTCCCTCTTACAAAGGAGCGCCCGACTCTCACCTTCGACTCTCATCCCCCCTCACCTCCTGCAAAGGGGCATCCGACTCTCACCTTCGACTCTCACTCTCTACAAAGGGGCGCACGACTCTCGCCTTTGAATCTCCCCCCCTCCTCCCTGCAAAGGGGTGCACGACTTCCTCATGACCTTGACAATATATATCAAGGTCAAACATCTTCGAGATTACTCAGATAAGTTTCATTAAATATTTTCATTACAAAACCTTTATTCTTACTATTTCATTAAAAATCGATACTTTGTATTATATATTTTATTTTCAGTTATTAGTTAAACACTATCAACAGTGTTAAATTGTGTATAGAAAAGAAGGGATTGAAAAGAAAGGAAAATTAAAGGAAAAGAGAGGAAAAAGAAAAAAGAGAGAGAGAGGAAAGAAAAGATGTGGAAGGAAGTATAATCTAAATAAACCTGAATCAGAGAGTGGATAATCACTGATACCGTTGATAGTGTTAGACCGAAAACCAATAACTGAAAATAAAATATATAACACAAAGTATCGATTTTTAATGAAATAGTAAGAATAAAGGTTTTGTAATGAAAATATTTAATGAAACTTATCTGAGTAATCTCGAAGACGTTAACCTCTCGACATATTACGCGATGACAGCCGTTCGCGAACAGTTCACGAATTATCATGTAATTATACTACTTTTACACTCAATCGACCATGATCGGCGCAAACTAACGGATTACTACTTGTAAATATTACCAATCCGTAGAAAATAAAACTATGGTGCCTCAAGAGTTTTTTGTTGCTACCAACATTACCCTCTCTTTTTTTATGAAAATTGTCATGTAATCGTCTTAAGATGCTAATACGGCTACCACTGACAAGATAGTAGACAAATTGAATATTCCTGATTTATTTATGTCTATATAATTTAGGAATCGTTTGGGGAAATTTGGGAAAAGCATTTAAACATTCGGGAAATAGTATTTTTCTTGTAATTAACTTAAATTTTTATCATGCGTCAAGTTAGCAGACAACGATTTTATTTAATGTGTTTTATGAATGGAATTGATTAGAAATTATTTAGGAAAGACGTCTTCATTATTATTTTTATTTAGGAAAAGTCACTATTTGGTAATTCAATAGATTTATACATTACGAAAACGAACAAAGCCCGGGTGTAGTATGGGTGTAGTACAATGAATATAGTAAACCTAAAATCGTCAAAAATTAATCAATTAAGCACGGATCTAATTATGCGTAGTAAGAAATTATGTGTAGTAAGAAATCATCTTAATCATAAACTTAATTATATTCGACTAATTTTTTTCACTTTCAACTATGATTGGTCAATTCCTTATGGTTAAATTCACTTCAAGAAGAAAAATTTTAATATTTATTCTTTATTTTTGTTATTTTTCAGTAAAGATGGACAGACAGTTTTATGTACATAAATGTATGTCAAGAGATATTATGTACATACATATATCTAACAAATATTTAAGTATTTCTTCTAGACGTGAAAGCAATTTGCATTAATTTATAAGATATGTACGTTTATTCATATAATGATTATTATACACACATGCATCTACATATATGTTTCTGTAATTTCTAAGATCGTATAATCTGCGATAAATAATTGAGTTTGTTTTTAGACAAATTTTCTTCTTCATTGTATATTTTTATGTTCAAAGTTTATTACTCCGAAATCCAAATACTCCAATGTTAAACTGCGTTCTCAAATTTCACTCGGATGGTACAATAAATGTAGAAAGCCTTAAGCTATAAGGAATTGACCAATCACAGTTGAAAGTGAAGAAAAATAGTAATCGAATATAATTAAGTTTATGATTAAGTTGATTTCTTACTAAACATAATTTCTTACTACGCATAATTAGATCCGGGCTTAATTGATTAATTTTTGCCGATTTTAGGTTTACTATATTCATTGTAGTACACCTACTATACCCGGGCTTTGGCTTCGTTTTCGTAATGTATAAATCATGAAGTAAGAATAAGGAGACTTAACTGTGTAGATTGAAAGTGGTCACGAAAAATGTTCCGTGTACTGCCATGTCCGCCGAACGGAATAACTTGCAACATTCTATATTGAATATTTATATGTGTGCAGTATACTTGCGATTGTATTATATATATGTGTATTAAATACGTGTCTTCTAAAAAGTAAATAGCTTGCCCTTCTAAAATCTTAATAAAAATATATTCATTCGTCGCGTTTTCACTCAAAATGAAAGAATCTGTAAGAAAAATGCGGCGTTGTGAACCGAGTTAGTAAGCGTTAAAGTTCGAGACTAGGGCTCTAATTTTATTCCATTTTTCGAAGACACGTGTAAACGTAAAACGTTTATCCGTTTATATTCGCTTTCAAAAAAACGTTTACTTAAAGGTAAACGTTTACACGTTTAATTAGCATATCCGTTTATAAAAGAAACATTTTT